AGGATTCCCCGGAGTTGGGTTTCGCCTGCATGTTTTTCAAAATGCTGCTCTCGCTGAGGCGCTGGCCTCATTTTCGGGCCCCGCTCGTTCCGAATCGTGCTCCCGCTGCAGCGCTGGCCTCATTTCCGTGCTTCCGCTCGTTCCGAATCGTGCTCCCGCTGCAGCGCTGGCCTCATTTCCGCGCTTCCGCTCGTTTCCCTGGAGTTGGGTTTTCGCCTGCATGTGTTTCATCATGCTGCTCTCGCTGAGGCGCGGGCCTCATTTTCGGGCCCCGCTCGTTCCGAATCGTGGTCCCGCTGCAGCGCTGGCCTCATTTCCGTGCTTCCGTTCGTTCCGAATCGTGTTCCCGCTGGAACGCTGGTCTCATTTCCGCGCCTCCGTTCGTTTCGATTCGTGTTCCCGCTGCAGCGCTGGCGTCATTTCCCGTGACAGGCCACGGCATGCAATGCAATGCTAGGTTGATACTACGCTTTGCGGTGCTCTTCTACGCCATGCCATGCCGTGTTCTACAATGCATCGCGAACCCTTTCGGGATCCTTGCCCTGCTCGACATCCGATTGTGCGAATAGAGAGGGGATCTGCGCCATGGTAAAGGATGGGAGGGAGCGGTCGGATGTCAGATATGACGCGAGCGCACCTAGCTTGTCCTCCTCCTCCTCCTCCTCCTCCTCGTCCTCCTCCTCCTCCTCCTCCTCCACCTCCTCCTCCTCCTCCTCCCTCATCCTCCTCCTCCTCCTCCTCCTCATCTCCTCCTCATCCTCCTCCTCTCCTCCTCCTCCTCCTTCTCCTGCCCCCTCCTCCTCCTCCTGCCTCCTCGCTCCTCCCTCCTCCGCCTCCTCCTCCTCCTCCTCCTCTTCCTTCTCCTGCCTCTTCCTCCTCCTTCCTCCTCCTCCTCCTCCTCCTCCTCCTCCTCCTCCTCCTCCTCCTCCTCCTCCCCCTCCTCCTCCTCCTCCTCATCATCATCATTATCCTCTTCCTTTTCCTCCTCCCCCCCCTCCACAAGCACTCAATATGAATACTACTCTCCCTTTTCCCCTGATGACGGTTTGAAAGGGCTCGACCCCCCCCTCCCCCCGCGTACTGTTTTTTGTACACACAGGTTTCCCTGGAGTTGGGTTTTCGCCTGCATGTGTTTCATCATGCTGCTCTCGCTGAGGCGCGGGCCTCATTTTCGGGCCCCGCTCGTTCCGAATCGTGGTCCCGCTGCAGCGCTGGCCTCATTTCCGTGCTTCCGTTCGTTCCGAATCGTGTTCCCGCTGGAACGCTGGTCTCATTTCCGCGCCTCCGTTCGTTTCGATTCGTGTTCCCGCTGCAGCGCTGGCGTCATTTCCCGTGACAGGCCACGGCATGCAATGCAATGCTAGGTTGATACTACGCTTTGCGGTGCTCTTCTACGCCATGCCATGCCGTGTTCTACAATGCATCGCGAACCCTTTCGGGATCCTTGCCCTGCTCGACATCCGATTGTGCGAATAGAGAGGGGATCTGCGCCATGGTAAAGGATGGGAGGGAGCGGTCGGATGTCAGATATGACGCGAGCGCACCTAGCTTGTCCTCCTCCTCCTCCTCCTCCTCCTCGTCCTCCTCCTCCTCCTCCTCCTCCACCTCCTCCTCCTCCTCCTCCTCCTCCTCCTCCTCCTCCTCCTCCTCCTCCTCCTCCTCCTCCTCCGCCTCCTACCCCCCCGCGATCGTGTTCATCTTCGTCGTCTTCGGGGTCGGCGGCACCGGCCGCGAGGCCTTCGCAACGAAATCCCCATATTCCTCAATCGTCTCGGCGAAGCGCAGATGCTCGCGTTGGTTGTATGCTGGGCCATCAAGGCACTCGATAGACGCGTGAGCAGCGTGTTTTCGCCGGGTTGCGTCTGCGCTGCGAGTTGGGTGCACTTCCGTACCAAATACTGCGTAAACCCGCAACTGCGTCATGACCGTGCCGCCTCGTCCTCCAGAGGTACGTTCCACCCCTTCCCCTGGCCGGAAGATCGCCGACGATACCGGATACTTTTAACTCGGCATTTACCACGGCCGCCGAAGGAAAGCTCCTCGTAGGCGACATCGTTGGGAGCGATCACAAAGGCGCGGATACCTCGCCATGCGAATCGTCGCCGCCGCCCACCTTGCCCACCTCTGCCCTTTCCTTTGAGCGCGGTTAATGACGCGGCGCGCGCGGCGAACAGGTATGTTCAGATATCTCCTCCTACGTCCATTGTGGTACCGCTTGAGGTGGAACAATTTCTGCTCGCGCTGCGAAGCAGGGATATCGGCTAAGTCATCGCAGTGCTCTGGGTGTCGCGAAGGATCGAAATGGCGGCACCGCTGTCGTTCTCTTCTATGGGGGCCATCCACAGAGTAGCTGTTGGCGTAGCTGCTGACAGAGTAGCTAATGCGGAAGGTGGAGGTGGCGCCCAGGAGGTCCGGCGCTTTTGAGCGCCAGCGGGTGTCTGGGCAGAATGGGCGGCAAATGTACACGTACTGGCCGCAGATGCACCCAGCTGTGCGCGAAAAATATGATAGTGCGTCTCCGCCTCGGCGGTCAGGCGGTCTCGGCGGATAGGCGGATGTCACCTCTGCCAGGTCCGCCCATAAGTTGGGCACTGATTCCAGGTGCCCATTCAACCATGCGTCGCTGGCGTCGGATGGTCTCCACTAGTTGATCCTTCCCCAGCTGATTGAGAAGCATCATCTTGTTCAGCGGCTGCAACTACGTTGAAACGTCACGCGGCAGAACACATAGTACACGAACCATAACGGTAAATCCCACCAGCTCTCTGGGCGCAGATGGTCTAGAGCGGTTCCTCTCCTCCCCCCCTCCCTTTTCCCCTTCGAGGAGGGGTTGACCCCTCCCCCATCACCCCCTCCCCTGGGTCTGGAAGGGGCGTTTCGCGAGGGGGTGGAGCGTCCAAGAGGACCCAAAGTGCCTCCAAGAGGGCCTCCGAATTCTCATGGCGACCTCCAAGATGGTTCAAGATGCTCCAAGGAGGCCCCAAGACCGCTCCAAGACGGCTCCTAGTGGCCACGGAGCCCGCCCTCCCAGGAGGCCGCCAAGAGGCCAAAACCGTTCAAAAAATGTTGCCTCCTCACCGTTGTGTTTTTGAACGCCGTCCGATGCCTCAAGATGGTTCCAAGAGGGCTCAAAAAGGGCCCCAAGAAAGGCCCAACAGAGTCCCGAGACTGCCCAAAGAGCGCCCAAGGGCGCCCCAAGAGCGCTCCAAAAACGGCACGAAGGCGATCTTAG